GGGGCCGCTGGTGTCTGAGAAACCCAGCTCCGGCCCTTTCAGTTTCTCTTGGAAACGGAAAATCCGGACAAGGCTGGAGCCCTTCCCCCGGGGATGGCCCGTTTGACCCCACACGCGGGAACTCTGTCCTTGTTGAGTCCCCTGAACGTCAGGTTTGGGGGACATGCCTTCCCTTTTCCCTGGCAGAAAGTTACGAATCGAAAACAAAATACAGCCGAGAGGGAGGAAGCCGAGATTTTATTACAGCTCAGCAAGTAACTCCGCATGTGGAGGGGAGAGTGAAATTGCGAGGAAGACAGAAGGTCTACAGCCGAATTCTAGCGAAATGGTCTGATTGATAGTAATCTGTGTCAGGACGCTTACGCAGCCCAGTATGTTTTGAGTTTAAGAATGACGGATGAGCTGGGAGCCGGGAGGGGTGGGTCAGTGGTTGAGCGTGGACCTCTGAACCAGGAGGTCATGGTTCTATTGCCCGGGTTGCGGGTTCCACCCCGTGTGTGTGTGTGTGTGTGTGTGTGTGTGTGTGTGTATACAAGAGCAGCCGAAAGATGATTCTCTCGCATCATTGATGTTTTTCTCTCTCCTCCTCTCTGAAATAAATAAAATAAAAGAGAATGAGGGATGAGGCTGTTCTTTTGTGTTTCCAGGTGTGTATCGCCAATCCTTAGTTTGCCAAGCCATCTACCCAGAGACAGTTAACTGTTACCTGTGTCTTGTTTCTCTTCCCAGGTAGTGTACATAATCACACAGGCATATGAATATATTTTACAGTTTGCCCTTTTAAAAAACCTAATTTCTCAGAGATCATTATATTCCAGCATGTATACATAAATCTTATTCTTTTGTAAAAAAAATGTTTTTATTGATTTTTAGAGAGAGAGAGGGAGAATCTATATTGATGTGAGAGAGAAACATGGATAGGCTGCCTCCTGCACGCCCTCTACTGGGGTTCACTAGTAAGCCCACAACCCAGGCATGTGCTCTGACGGGAAATGAAACCAGCAACTTTTTGGTGCATGGGACAATGCTAACCACCTGAGCCAGACCTGCCAGAGCCATGTCTCTTACTCTTGTGGATTTTTGCTGTTCACTGCGTGAATATATTATGCTGACTTATGGAGCGGTCCCTGTTGTTGGGCGTGGACTTGTCATCAGACAAGGGCACTACTGCTATGCACACCCTTCACTCCCCATTCATTGATTATTTTTTGAACTCCTACCATTTGCCTTACAAAATGCAGTAAGCAAGACCAGTGGGGTGTCTTCCATCCACAACTGGATATTCTAGTCTGTCTTTGTACATTTGTCTTTGTGCCAAAAGAGGAATACGTCCTCATAGGACAAGTTCAACCTGCAGAATTGCCCAATGAAGGGAGATGTGTATCTACAGTGTTGAGGAATCTAACAACTGTCCTCCAAAGTGCTGGCACTAATTTTGTCAATTCCGTATTGCATAATGATGCTTTTCTCTGCCTCGCATCACCCACGCTGTCTTAGCCAACACTATGATCTGTGTGTCAACCTGCTAGGTGAGAAACTGGTTCTCATTATCATACTATGCATGCGTTCAATTACAAGTGGTTAATTATCTTTCATATATTTAACATTTTAAAATTCTTTTCTCAGTAACTGCTTGTTTTGCCTTTATTTTCTTCCATTTGTTTACATAAAATATAACATACATACAATATAAATTTATTCATAAAATGTCTTTATGTATTAAAGTAAATAGGCCGCTGTCCCAATTCATTGTTTGTCTTCTGACTTTGGTAATGCCATTTTCTTTCTGTGCAGAATTTGAAGTTTTTATGAAACAAATGTGATTGTTCTCTGATTGCTTCTGGGTTTCATAAGCTCTTCTTTTTCCCCAAAGTTTTCTTTCTTTTTTTTTTTTTAATCTTATTGATTTTTTTTACAGAGAGGAAGGGCAAGGGATAGAGAGTTAGAAACATCAATGAGAGAGAAACATCGATCAGCTGCCTCCTGCACATCCCCTATTGGGGATGTGCTCGCAACCAAGGTACATGCCCTTGACCGGAATTGAGCCTGGGACCCTTCAGTCCGCAGGCCGATGCTCTATCCACTGAGCCAAACCAGTTAGGGCCCCAAAGTTTTCTTTAGTAACTTATAACTTCTCTTTCTGATGTTGGAGTTGTTGTTCTACTAGGATTTCTTTGATGTTAGGAATGAACTAGGAATCTGACTTTGTTTTCATTTTGTCAGATGGCTACCCAGCTGTCCCAACATCATGAGTAACAAATTTACTCATATTGCTAAATAAGAAGACACAGCCTGAGGTCCTAGGGAGAGTGCAATTTAAATGAGGCATTAAACATATATATGCTGTAGAGTAACTAACCATAAAAAGTATATGATTTATTGATTTCATTTTGTTTGCTTTTTAAAAGTAATGTTTATAGATACAGACAACAGAAGGGTGGTTACTAGAGGGGAACGAGTGTGTGTGTGTGTGTGTGTGTGTGTGTGTGTAGTGGGGGAGAGAGGGGGGTAGACCGAAGAGGGTAAAGGGGTCAAATATATGGTGACAGAGGGAGACTAGACTTTGGGTGGTGAGCACACAGTGCAGGTGATGAACAATCATAGAACTGTACACTTGAAACCTATTTAATGTTATTAACCAACGTCACCCCAATACATTTTATAAAGAAGAAACAAACACACAACAGAACAGAAAAAATAACATTTACCTCCAGCCTTAGTGTTATTTACATACTTTCCTGTGTCCTCTCTGTTCCTGAATTGTTTTCATTGCACCATGTCCTTGAGGAATTTGCTACCAAGACTGTGTCTGAATCTACTGAAGTGGGATCAAGTTACTGTCTGTGAACTCTTTGCCTTACTTTTCTGCCAACTGGAAATGAAGGGGAAAAGTTTAGAGCATGAAACTATTTATTTCCTTTACAAAGACAGTCAATTCAACTCAAACTTCCTTATTTATAATATAAAATCCCTATAGTTGTGTGTGTGTGTGTGTGTGTGTGTGTGTGTGTTTTATATGAAGAAAGCTCACTCAGTCCCTCAGTTGTAATGAATTTTCTCATTTTTCTAGTTTTTGTATTTGAAGTGATAATGAATTAATGGGGTTTTAGAATATTAATTGCTTTTAGAGTGTCAGGTCCTTTATAGGTAGTGTTTGTGAGGATTATGTAATCATTTTCTCATTTTAGAAGAAGCTGAGATGTAAAGAGTTAAGTGACTTGCCTGAAATCACAGTTATTAAATGGTAGAGCAAGAATTTGAAGTTGGGTTAAACTCAGGGGAGCCTGTGCTCTCAGGTACACTGCACCTGTCCTGTCTGTTTAAAACAATGAGCATAAAAATAGCCAACTCTTAACCTCTGTCTATTCTATATAGTCTTATGAATTCCTCTTTCACAAGTGAATAGTCCAGTTCCATATATTTATGCTCCATGTGATAAGTTTTTTATCCTGTAGTTATTGTTATGGTTTTCCCAAAGACTTTTAAGTTTTCAAAGTACCATTGACTCTCCCTGCTAATTTCCCACTCAGTGTAGCTTCTTTTGTAGAATTTATCATATTGTGTCAGTTTCACTCCCAATTCTGCTCCTGTAGTTATTGTCTTTAAACACATGTGTAACTTCTTTGAGCTTTAGTTTTATTTATTTATTCATTTTTGAGAGAGAGAGAGAGAGAGAGAGAGAGAGAGAAACTGATTGGTTGCCTCCCATCCACCTCCTGACCGGGGATGGAACCTGAAACCTAGGTATGTGCCTGGACTGAGAATGAACCTGTAATCTTTTTAGTGTATAGAACTACACTCCAAACAACTGAGCCACCTGGATGGGATTGAGTTTAAGTCTTTTTATCCATAAAATTGGGTAAACCTCTTGGGTTGGTTGTGAGGAGAGATCAAAATGATGCCGTTAAAGACTGTGAAAGCTGCACAAATATGGTCACTGTTTTGTTTGAAAGTACATGGAAATGTAAGAAGGAAGGTAAATAAACCCTAACTTTTTATATTTGTTTATTCCTAATTGTGGTGCAAAACAGGTGCCTTCCAATCATGATATTCACTTGCACCCAATTTTTTTGTTGTTGTGAACTTTAGGTGGTTTGTTTGAGAATTGCTCAGTAGTATTTTGTCAGGTCCATAATTTCTTTATGTCAACTGGACCTTAGAACTTATTTCTCAGTGGAAAAGTAATAATCAGTGATCCAGGTTTAAATATTTCAGTTTGTGAAAGTTAAATGTCAAAGGTATGAGAGTTAATTGTGTGTCTTCACGATAATTTTTCAAGTGTGTGGATCCGGGTGGTTTACTCACGCAGTAAAGTCGTCCCCCTTATCGGGGGATACTTTCAAAGACCCCAGTGGATGCCTAAAAGCGTGGGTAGCACCAAACCTTAGATAGAGTATACATTTTTCCTATACATACATAACTATGATAAAGTGTAATTTATAAATTAGGCACAGTAAGAAATTAACAAAAACAACTAATAATCAAATGGAACAAGTATAACAATACGCTGTCATTAAAGTTATGTGAATGGCTTTGGGGCCATTAATGAGTAAAATAAGGATTACTTGAACATAAGTCCCTGCCTCTGTTACCTGAAAGATCCCTTTCAATGAAATCACAGTGGAGGAGGAAAAGGAATTCATCTTATAGACTAGAATGAATATGTCAGGAACAATGTGCCTTTTGTCCCGACTGCTTTTGGAAACTGCTATTTAGGTCACCGATTATTTCTTGGTTGGCAAATTTACTGACTTTTTCCCTTTCTTACCTCTTTGTTGCATTTAACTCTTAGAAACATCCTCTTTCGTAAGGCGGTTAAGAAAAGTTTATTAAATATATAAATGAAAGAGGAGAAAGACAGAAAGAGAAAATGATAGGGTGACAATGTCAGAGAGAGAGAGAGAGAGAGAGAGAGA